CATGCCTTTTCAAATGCTTTAAAGAAAAATATTCACAAATTAAGGTTTTAATCCTTAATAAATTACTTTTATTTGGTTATAAAAAGTCATGTTTTTCTGGTGCTGCATTGTCTCAGTGTTGAGTTGTCGCCATATTGTTTGTCCAAAAGGAAGTCAAGCAATTTATGATGTTTAACCAATTTGGCATTGATTAAAACCTCAAGTACTTTGCCGAAATAAGCTAAGAGACTAACAGAGTGTTAATGTGAGGACTCACAGGGTTCCTGTGATTCTTAAAAACAGGAACTACAGAGAAAGCAAATAGCAGCGAGCCATTTGTTGTAAAGTTTGGAGAGAACAGGAGCCAGCTCAGAAGCACATATCTTTAAGACGATTGCAGGCATCCCGTCACATCTGCATACCTTGTGGGGATTTTAGAAATGATGTCAGAAACCAGTGACAAAGTTATGCATATATTATTCAGTAAATCCTCCATTCTGGCACGGGGGGTGCAATCTGGCAGAGGTACTCCAAATGAGACAAGAGTGGAGTTGGAAGAGAATTTACAAGCAAAACACTTTACCTTATTTGCAGTAGATATCAGTGCTTCAAATTCATTAAAGAGAGAAAGGATTAAGGATTTGCTTTTGTTCTTGCAAGGCCGTCAGTAATCTCTACAACCAAACATGTGAGAGGCTATACGGTGTCTCATTCTATCATCAAATAGTGACTTTGAAGACACGCTTGCCCTCATTATGAGCAACAAAGAGACATCTGTTACAGTTAGACCTGTCACTGTGGTATAGCCAGAAGTAATTCCTGTGGGCTGAGCAGGCAGGTGAGAATCAAGAAGATGATTATGGTTTCACTTAATATTTCCATGCTGGAATGAAACCTTTAATGCCAGCTTCTCTCCAGGAACAGGCCTCAGTGGCACAATTGTGAACAGGATGATTAAAATTATCATTCTAAGGGATTTCTATTATTTTATTACCCTTTTCATTCCATCTTATTATTGTTGCATTTTATAGCAAATCTCAAGTGAACTGCGGAATGCACTGACTGCATCCCCAGCATAACAATGAATAACTACTACTTAACTGCTTACAGACTCAAATATTTACCTACACCCAAATCAAGTAAATGCTTATAGACTTAATGATGTATTCTTAAAGAGGTTTCAAACAGACAAAGGTGATACTTGAGTGAAAAAATAGCAACACACGCGTAGACGAAAGAAGGAGTTGTTTATTGTAAAAGAGAATACACTACTGAAAACAGGGAATGAGGTGACAGGCTAATAATTCCTGAAGCAACCCTCAGGTATATCCTGTGCTCACTATATATAGCTACTGATATAGTCAGTCCACAAAGGCGATAGGGAGTGTGGGACATTTCATTACAACACTTAAATATAAGTAACCAATATTTATCTATCCCTGAACCAAGAAAATGCTTACTGACTCAAATATTATCTGGATTATACTCCTCCCCAACCTTTTGGACAGGAGTAAACGTTTATCCCTTGTTTAGGATTGAGTTTCTGGTTCCTTCTAAAACCTTCCATTCTCTGTCACTCCCAGTAGCCTCTTGCATCTTAGTGGCATTATCACCTTGCTTGGGGTGAATTGATAAAAAAAAATTAAATCAACCAATATTTACTTATCCCTAAACTAAGTAAATGCTTATAGACTTAAATATAATGAACCAATAAAAAGCTTGCAGATTCAAATATAAATGATCAATATTTTACTTATCCCCAAACAAAGTAAATACTAATTGACACAATATTTACCTATTCCTGAAGAAAGGAAATGCTTATAATAGTCTCAAATACATTCAAACCAATATTTACAGGCAACCAAACCAATAAAAAGTTTACAGATTCAAATACAAATGACCAATATTTTACTTATCCCCACACCTAGTAAATGCTTATTGACGAAAATATGTCTAGTATTTCCATATTTCTGAAGCTACTTGGTAAATATTAGTCATTGGCTTAGTAACTCAAATATAATTTTATTTTTAAATGGCTGATTTCAACATTAACCTAATAAGGGTTGATATGTTGAAAAATCAACCAACCCACCCAATCGAAAATCAACCAACCCACCCAATCAAAAATTCTGAATTGATACAATTTTTTTTTTTTAACTATTTTATTATTGTCAATTTTTTTTTTATCACAAGTGTCTGGATCAGGGAACTATCTGATTATGACAGCAAAATCAAAAATAAACCTGCAGCTTTCAGTGAGACAGGAATTTTAATCCAAAATCTCAGAAGCTTGTATTGCAAGAATATCACTTGAATAAAACTGACAATGGTATATTGAAAAAAAAAAAAAAAAAAAAACAGAATGGCCATAAAAGAAGTTTTGCAAAGAATTTGCAAACTAAGTCTTCAGGTGATTGTTGATTAGTTTGTTATATTAGAGTAAAAAAAATTTTTTTTTTTCCTTTTTTTTTTTTTTTTCAAATGGGGATGACTAAGTAACTAGCATAGTCCAAAAGTTGAA